ATTGAAATGCGGTAGCTCCATACGTATACGGTTAGGGTCACTGACAACCTAAGAAATACGGAGAGCGGCCATTTTTGGTGCACGCTTCTTGCGCAGCGCAGCCGACTATAGAGTTACGAGGTTGTTGGGAGTTTCGGATCAGCTGAGTTATATTATCACGCTCCCTGTGCGGCGTTAGTTTGTAGGCCTTCAGACTGAAGTCCCTTATGTCCACCCACCAGATGAATGTGCCACGAAGGCTTTGATCCACAAAACACAAACCCAATCTCGACGAAGGAGAGCGGCTTGATAATAGGGAGTTTTAGTAGACCGTTTCGATCCCTCCGATAATGATTCCCGGTAACGACACGATGTGTGCTCGCAAGGGCGTTGCCGGAGTATCCGGTATCGCTATCGGACTAATCAAAACGATCTACTGAAACTCTCTAGTTTAAAAAGAGTTAAACGGAAAGCATACAAAAGTTCGAAGACGGGTCGAGACACCTTCTTATGTTTTGTCCCGCCATGCTCGATTTTCTTGCTTTCGGTTCCTTTTGGACACAGATTCATCTTCCTTAAAATACTGCCCACATCTTGCCTTTAAGAGGTGCCGTACTGAAAGGACTAAATGCATCTCAATATTAAAAAAAAAAAATAATCGCCACTTACTAAACATCACCTATTCATATCTTAGCCATTTTCGTTACAACGCTGACGTTTTTGAAAGGGTGCTGCGGCGATTTCTTCATGGTCCCCGCTGTGCTGAAAATTTGCTAAACACACCGACAAACAACCCTGAAATAGTATCCCGAATATGAGGTCAAAATATTTTTTTCTCGTATAGTTACTGAATTTACAATTTCGGTCGGCATCGTGTCTTTCAATCTAAAGGTCTCTACTGGCGACAATGAAAAACTGATGTCAGCGGAAGGCAGGGGTTCACTCTTAGGACCGCAGAATTTGTTCCCAACTGACTCCAATCCGTTTCATGGTCTCAAATGAATGTTTTGGAAGCTCGCTTCAGTACCCGCGTACCAGCACCGAATGAATGCTTGGCATAATCTGTTCCTTAAGTGCTTGCTCGACTGGAGAGCCTGCCTGCCACCGACGTCACGGCACTGAAAAGTGCGGTTATATTTGAATGTTGGCTTTTGCACCATTTTCATTTGCCGATTTCACAATAAGTATTATGAAATTCGCGATTCTAAATAGCATACCGGAAAGGGTAAAGGCCAAGGATTGAGAATATATCGTTAGTTGGGGCAGTTAAAAAAATAGTCCGAGTACCCCTTTCATGTGATACTTTTACAAAAATATACTTGTAAGAATGTTTCATGATTGGAGAGCCCTGTAAGTTCACTATGCCAACATTTCCAAAAGTAAAACCCAATTCAAAATCATTATCTTCTACACATGGGTTTCAATTTTAGACAATTCTTGAAAAATAATTCCAAATTTCTCATACACCATTCTAGTCATATCCCGTTTTCATTCTTCAAAACTTCTCTTCATACCATATATCTTTGTATACCGTGTTTTCATAACATAAGATTACATAGTATACTTACAAATAGGTTATTTTATAATTTAAGGTGTACAATCTCACATAATAAGATGTATAATACCCATAAGATTTCCGATGTTCAAATTTCTTCTTCCGGCTGCTTAATCTGCGTGGTCTCCGCACCGAAAGATATAATTTTTAACAAAAGTATTGCATATAGTTTATAGTTATAAGTTATAAGAATATCGCTAACCAAAATTAGCCCCTACACCTTAGCAAAGCTAGACGATGTTACCTTGAAATCATTTCGTCGTAAACACGACAAAACGCATACAATTATTTGTGTGATTTTATTATATATCTTGATATAAACCTAAACCATTTGGAGCGCATTTCGAGACTGTAACGAAGGATATGCTAACAAAGTAGAAAGAAAAAGAGGCAGCGAAGGTTCGTCCGGTATATAGTTAGATCACAGGAAGCAAAAATAGATCAGACCCAAATCTCTATTAACTGACTAAAAAAAGCTCTGCCATCGAGAGACTTTTGGCTATGAGCAACAGGGGAAGTATACGAGTGATACCAAGTGTGCCGGAAGTCATTTGACAAGGCGAGATGTTATCCCAAAGCGAGTCGGCGCTAAATGAACGAATGCCACCGGCTCATAGCGAAGGGCATACTTATATAAACACGCCAACACTCGATCGGGGGTAGTTTCACCCAAAGACCACTGAGAAGTAAAGGAGGGTGAATGGGACGCAATTCTCCCCTAAGAGTTCGACCAAGAGGCGATAGGCACCCACTATGCCTGGCTCCTAAGATTATACTGTTTTTCTTGTTTAGTATTATTCTGGTTATTGCTATGAAACCAGTAATCTCTTCACTGAATCATCTTAGATGCCTCCAAGCTAATATAGAGAACGCAAGTTTACTTGCCTAATGAATTCGAATAAAAATGTCTATGGAAACGCATAAAAACAGTTATGTGTATCCAATCATCCAGTTAGTAAGAATCCATGAAGCTACTGATGATATAGCTTAATAAATTGGGATAATAAGTCGGCGCGAAACTAGTAGATTGAAAAGTAGGCGCAATCTTGCACTTTTGAAGACGCACGTGAATTGAACAGGACCACTCGGGTATTAGATGATGACACCACATCAAATCGGGATGCATCCAATCTAAACTCCCCGAACTCCCTTGTCTTAATCCGGTAGCATGATGCACTTCAGCTGGCATCCCAAGATATTCTGATGGAGATGTGCTTTGAAGTGCGGAGATGGATGAGTTTCGAATCGATAACCGCGTAAAACTTTTAAGCACAAAACGAGGATACGTTAACGAATACAGAACAGTAAAACAAAAGCTTGAATAAGCGGCTACTGAATTCTACCAGAGTGGACCTGAGTCTAGTGGAAAGACTGAGGTTCTAACCAGGGTGTGCTTCGAAGTTTGTATAAGGCCAGGAATCGAATACAGGACCGCTTAAGAGTTTAAACAAAAAGAGGGTGCGTATACAAAAACGGTACAAGAGTAAAACAACAGCCACAAAAAAGGGCTATTGGATTCTATTTGGTTGGATCTGATACTCTTGTGGAACAGCTTAGGTTCTTACCAGGACGTGCTAGGATGTTTGTACAAGATAGGGATTTGAACCAGAACCGCATAAGTGTTTAGCCAACAAAAGGAGGATGTGTATACGAAAACTGTATACAAAAAGTAAAACATAACTCACAAGACGGCTCTTAGATTATATTTGGGTTGACCTGACTCTTGTGCAATACCTGAAGTCCTCAGAAGGATCTGCTTCAAAGTTTGCATATGGCATAGATTTGAACCTAGAACCGAATAAACGTTTAAGCAACAAAATAAAGGTGTATATAGGAAAACCGTGTACAAGAGTACAACAAGAAAACACAAAACAGCTATTGAAGTGTATTTGGGTGGACCTGATACTCTTGTGAAACACATGAGGTTCCAACCAGAATGTGCTTCAAAGTCCTACAAGGTAAGGATTTAAATTCAGGACCTCGCACATCTCCTGTCTGAGCAGAACAGGATCTTTGAAATTTGTGCCAGGAACTGTCAGAGATCGCAAAAACACGCGCCATGAAAGGAACGAAGAATCGCAATCACGAGGCCAGATCTTGAACCGTCCCAGATATGGCATGGAACCCGAACCTCCCAACACATCCGGGCATATCTCGAGTCACCAGCTGTGCTTGTTATACACGCCACGAACCAAGACAGACAATCGCGTGCAAACTTTCCGAATACCAGCCGCGTAGGAGTAAAATGAATCGCGAAACTTTTAGGCTGGTACCAATTAGAACTACAAAATGATGTTGCAAAATTTAAAACTCGTGACCATCTCGAGAGTTTGGCACATGCACACATTGCGATCGCGTTCAACCAGGTGTTTCTACGTTTTGTGTGGAGTTCATCGTAACTTGGGAATTCGGTTTTACTCTCCGACAGGTCTAGATCGCCTTAGCTAGGGCGTAATCCGTGGGCGAAAGATATGTAACTTTCTGCGTCCAAGAAGACCTTCAAAAACCTTAAACATCGCAGATCGGTTGAGAAAATCTTGTTAGAAAACGTCGACTGCAGTAACGTAACTTATTGATGTCGTGTTGTCTAACCTCAGCTTTCAAAGTTTCGCGCCGACTTGGTATAAGCTGGAAAAGTGACAAACGAGTATACCGGCGGTCAGCGATAGGGTCAGAACGCTTTCGCTAGACGAGAACTGCCGACAAGCGATGCAGTCTAATGGCATTCCTGTAGCGCGTTCAACACTGTGTGGGTTACCACACTCGGAAGCGAACGCGGCAACATTGGCGGCTATTACTATGCACTGCTCGAGCCGCGTATGCGTTGTCGCGAAATCGCGGAGAACGGTGCAGTTGACGACAGGATCGGAGAGTGACCTTGAGGCTCGCCAAAACGAAACAAAAATGACAACACAGAGGGAGGAAAAAGAAAAAGCGAAAAAGCGCGTGCATGGGAGGTATATCCGCGCAACCAAAAGTGGTGTCACACGAAAGGGTACCGTGCCAAAAACTATAGAATGAATAAACAAAAAACCACGAAATGCATTCCAGATGCGAAGGTGCACGCATCAAACTAACATAACACGAATTAAACGGGGAACTTGTGCTAAAAAAAAAGAATTGGAGAACACACATCCTACCTTTAGGAAGAGAAGAGATCACGTGGTCGAAACAAAACACACCGACGCGGCGTGATGCAAGCATCACCACATCACAAACATTTGACAACACCGAGGGAATAAACAAACAAAAATAAAAACGGGAACCAAAAACAACACCGGAGCAGGCAGAAGGGGAAAGGGATGAGCACTGCATCGCACGACACCGGGGTTTGGGGGTGTGGGGTGGGGGAGGGCAGCGGGTTGGGGGTGGGGGGTCACGACCGCGAGGTCGGGTCTACATCCGAGCAAGGGAGGCCAAACCACACAAAACTCCGAGGCGGGCGATGAGGACCAGGCTGACGTACCCTCTCTCCGCATCCCCATCTTGAGACACTTTTTGAGTCGGCAGTATTGGCACTGGTTCCGGTGATGCTGATCGATGGGGCAGTTTCGGTTCCCGCGGCACGTGTACGTCAGGTTCCGTCGCACGCTTCGCTTGAAGAAGGACTTGCAGCCCTCGCAGGTGAACTGTCCGTAGTGCTTGCCGGAGCTCTTGTCGCCGCACACGACGCACTCGATGTTGGCGTGCTGTCCGTTTTTGTCGGACGACGACGACGACTGCGGCGTGCCCGGCGGCATGGGCGGCGGCAGGCCGATGACCAGGTCGGCCGGGTCCACGGGGTCCCTCCAGGGAGTCATGGCGAGCGCCATGCCGGGATCGCTGCGCGCGGCGGCGCGGAGGGTCGGTGTCGCCGGGTGTCGCGGCTAGGGCGCGCGGCCCTGCTCCGGCCACCTCCACCCGGCCATGGTTCACGGGGCCGATTAGCGCGCAGACGCGCCGGGCGCTGCGGCGGCCGTGCTCGCGGTCGTGCCCTGGCGGGAACCTCTCGGGGCACGGGCGGGACCCCGGCCCCGATTGGCTGCGCGGGAGCGAGGAGGGCCGCCGCGCATGCGCACGACCAACACGCCTCCCCAACGGCCGCCGCCGCGGTCGCCGCTCGCCCGCTCGCAACCGGGCGATGAGGATGGGAGATCGCGCGGTCGCACAGGAGTCTGCGCGGGCAACGGGTGCCGTCGACGCGTTGCGCGACCGCCGGACCTTCTGCCGGAGTGGCGGCAGCCAGAGGTTAATCCTTCATGTGGGGTGGGGGTTAAAAGTCTCTGTGGTTGTTCCGGCGAGGGGGTGAGAGCGGAGGTATCAACCAGGGATATTTGGGGGTGTAATTCTACAGAATTTTGCCCACTGTTCGCGGTCTTGAGTTCCGACAGAGTACTTCTTGTGCCGAAGAAAGCTTTGGAAATGAGGGATTGCCCCCCACGCCCCTTAAATAGCAAATCCGAAGCGCTTGATTTTTCTGTCACCGACAAGGGGCCAGGACAGGACGCAAGCTGGAGGACACTAGTGCTGCGTCCGCGTTAGGCAGAGATTCCTATTCTCACTTGTTAGACGCGTTTCAGTCATACCCTGATGTGTCCAATCTGCTTATCGCTTGGCCACCTCTAACGGGCGTAGAAAATCCAGTGCCGCGGCCTTGTTATCGCAAACGTGTTGGTACCCCACCCTTCCCCGCAAGAAACTCCCATTAAAATTCTCTAGGACATCTTTGTTGGCCGTGTTCGTGACGTGTGAGGTTTCGGTTTGGACTTCAGAGCAAAATGCGCCAGGTTCAAACGCCTCCAGGATTCTTCGGCGCGTTCCTCGTAGCTTTAGTGGTTTCACGCAGCCACGCCTTAATATTTGTTTCCTGCTCTGCGTCTTCTACTTCCGATGTTGCGGAAGTTCATGTGGCGATCCAGACTTGAGGTTTCGCCATGTTCATTGTTCGCATCTCATCTGCCTCATGATTTTAAGCAACGCTAACGCTTCATCGAGTTTCTAGCCAGAGGTTTATCCGGGACCGTCAAGGTTGAAGTGTGTGTGTGTGGGGGGGGGGGGGGGGGGGGAGGGGATGTGGAAGGGGGGGAGGGGGTGCATACCACATGTTTGTACGGTTTGTTTTGTAGGAAATTCTGCTGGGAGTGTTGGACACAACCTAGGTTGTGGTAGGGGGTGTGTAATTACATAGATTACTCTCACTTGCGAAGGGACCGAGATCAATGTTTTAGTTTATTCGCTAATTTGGAGGCATACATGTTCCCATATTTTTTTTTATTTCTAAGATAAAACTCTCTCTAAGGAAAATTGCGGATAGTAGAAAGAGACCCTTCTTGCTTGTTCCCTCCATGTGTACATCTCTTCCTTGTGTCCTTGGCCTATTTTAGCACTGTTTTAATTTTTTCTAGTTATGTACCAACCAGCCTAATTTAATGCCTCGCTGTAAACCCTTCACAAGGCAGGTGTAATGAAGTGCCTATTGATTGACAGATTTCAATATTCTATAGAAAAGCGACACTGTCAGATCTAACCTTAAATTGGGATGGTCATTTGATGTGGGCCAGTTCAGCGCTAATATAATTGACCCTGATTTGCTCAGGCTTTTTTTTTTGTTAATTGTAGTGCTCCAACCCAAAAATGACAGTGTCTTTGGAGATCTCACTAGCAGAGGCGGTTTTGTATGTTTAGTGGAGGATGTACTACCACATGTAACATTGAACACTAATGGACATTTGATGGTATCTTCAGAAATACTTATGGGACTGTAAATAAATAACAAGTGTCCAGCTTAAACAAATCCGTAAAGTTGTGCATAGAATGTTTAATAAAAAGCGTTGCGCCCTTCCAGCTGAAAATTATCACAGAAAGTTCATTGCTGCAGATAAGGTTCTGTATGTTCCCGGGAAGATAGTAAATTCTGCAGAACATGATTTTGCATGCGACAGAACTCATATTAGATTCAACTGAGAGGGTCGAACGGTTCTTTGCGTGTTCTTATTTCCAATCATGGAATTGTTTTATGAGTGTTTCTAGTTTAATTATTAAACATTATGTGTCTAAAGTGTCCCAAAAATGTAACTAGAAAATCGCTTTGCCACGAAGCCAAATTAACACAGCGTTCATATTCACAAGTCGTTCTAGTAATTTTCAGATTCACATCTCATGCCATATTATATGAGTTTCGTGAAACTTTTTTTTTTTTTTTAATTCTGCAAAAGTATTTAATACTTTTTTTTTTCTGAAGAAGTGGTACGGATATGATAGTTCCTTTTTTTGAACAACGCGTGTTTTAGTCATCGGAAAGCGCTTTTCCTGTAAGTATGTTAGAGCGCACAAACAAATTTAACACTGTAGAAGAGTGGTAAGTTGGGCGAGTTGGTAAACGTTGAACATGGTTAAAATCGCGCACAAAGAGACGTTTGTCCTCGTCTCTTTGTGCGCGATTTTAACCATGTTCAAATTTAACACTTGCTTTCGCTCCTGTAATCTCTGAATCAGTAGGAACACCAAGACATTAAAATGCTTCAAATGTGGATAAGTAAAAAAACAAAAACAACAACAATTTTGCTGTTGGCCAATTTTTTGTTGTATTCAAAACGCGTTTTACGTGTGATTTTAACCCAAAGCCCCGCAAGATTCAAACTTTTTATTATGACATTCTGGTAAATATGTTTGCTGACAAGTCAATTGTCATTACATTTTTTTTGTATCGCCTGATTTATTCACTGATCCAAATTCTGTTTTGTGTTCTAAAGACCAGTATTCGCTAGCTTTAGCTAGAGTAAATGACATAGTGTGCGTTGACAAATGTTGGGAAGCATATTTTTTAACTAGGACTATGTTTACCACATTGTTTTGTTTGTTAAGCTTTTACAGTTTACATAAGTGGATAATTAAATTAATTCCGAGAAATGAGTCATAATATATATATAAACGTGTAGCTTCGAACTAATAATTTATTAAATGCAACTCAATAAAAACGGCCTTCTATATTTCAAATAATTTTTCATCTAGAAAGACAAAACAACTTGAGGTACTTCATTTAGTGCTTTTTGTCTGAAGATGTTTAAAAAAATGGTTTTTCATATCTCTGAACTTTCTTGGTAAAGAATTATGCTCATTAAGATGAAGCACAATGAAGAGATAATAAGCACAGGAGCACACAAGGAAAAGATTTTTCTGCCGAGGAGGTTTTCCACACATCTCACGTCCTTTCCGATCCCTCGCTGACATATTTTTCTGAAGGCTCGGGGAGCGGTTTTACCAAGCTTTTCTCTCGGATTTTGTACTTATTTGCGGAACTATGGCTTGGTAATACTCTTCGTGATTTTAGGGAATTCCTTGTTAGTATCACATTAGAAACCAACATGTTCAGAAGCCTGTAGGTATAAATCCTAGCTTTCAGTCTTTAAGGGAAGGATCGAGTATTCAAGCGCAGCTTCATGTCTGGAGGTGGTGCGAATACCTTGTGCACTGGAACGGAGTATGCCGGTGCACTCTTGTTCATATCAACAGCGGTATGCATCCTTTGGGTCTGATTGTGTGAAATCAAAGTCGCATAGTTTCTTTTAGCAATAGTGTGCGGGACCACTTACCGGTATAAGTTATTCAAATAGAAAAGGTCACCTCGTGAAGGAAGTCAAGATTAATTTAATAACGCAGGCATTTAAAGTCAATAGCCATCTTAACCGCTATTCGATATCACGCGACTATGGTAACAGGAGCAAGAAGTTAAACCACTCACTGCATAAGTACTGGGACCTAATAATGACAGATGACTCAACGATCTAAAGAAAGTTAATGCAAAGAAAGTAAGAAATACATAAAATCGGGAGAAAACGTTCAGTAAGTTCAGACTGCATACAAGCAATTTACATTGAATACTATTGTTGGCCGGCCTTTAATCAAAAATCACTCTGCTCAAAGTGTGACAATATATTAAAACTGCGCGCTTGTAATAATAAGAAAAAACAATACCAACCTTGACCAGATTCATGATTAAGTCGCCAGAGTTAACATCTTCCTGTCTCCAAGAAAATGCGTAAAGCTTCGCAAGTCGACCTTCATGCTCTTTTTTAGTCCACCACGTCCTAGAGGCATCAGTTGCTTACCTAATGCAGGTAACAATCAAGAGTAGCGCCTCTTTCAGGATAACGACAACAAGTCCCAAAGTATGTTTGCGATGCTATTAGAAAATACCGACCTAGACTTTCCCGAGGAGGGTGATTACATTTGAATAGAGCAAATAGGATGAGCGACAGTTTTAAAAGAAAGACTGTTTTTCCATCACTTTGCCAATGCAAATCTTGAACGTCTCTGAAAAACAAAACTTTCACTGTTGCAAATTTTTCTTGCTTGCGAGGACTTAGTAAGGAAAAGAATATTAAAGTATGACGAATCAATAACTGAATGTTATCATCCCGTCTATTGACAATGCTTCAAATATTACTAAAAAGAATAGTGTCTTGCACCTAAGGCAAGTCTAAATACGGCCATCCATTGGAAGATGCTAAGAGTTGTAAGATTTTACCGTATAGTAATTTTCACCTTTACTAATACTAATATTTACGGCATTGGGCTCCCGGATGAAGTAAAAAAGAGTTAGTGAAGCGACTAATGTGCTTTTACACCATTCTATTTATTATTTTATATTAGTACATGTTTCCACCTGAAGAACCTTGGGATGAACCTTTACTCGAGGGTCAATATATGTCCCCTTTTAGGTGGTGAAGTAACACGCTTGATACACTTAAAACCATGTGTTTCTTTTATTTCTTCAAAGCGTACACCTTTTATACAAAAAACCAAGCGTATTTTTCTTCGCGTAACAGAGTCTCGTTATACCTACCACACGTTAAAAATAAATGCTGTACA